CTTGATTGAGAGTTGAGAAAAATGACCGAGATCCGCAAACATTGCTTCGGAACCTGAATTGAGCCAAAAAAGTAAGTCAAATTTTCTTCATTTTCGCCTTCAGCTCGTAAAAGCAAAGAGTTTTTTTTTGTTTTTCTTAGTTGAACCTGTAATGCAGAGCAAGATCCCACCAAGAGACATCCAACCTCTACTTTGAGTTTTCTTGAGGAACTTATACATATAATAAGGAGAAAGTGCTTGATACACATGCGGGTTCCAGTGAATAATGTTGTAAACACCGATGGCGCTGATGCACATTAACCACATCAGAATCACTGGGGCGAACAAGAACCCGACCTTGTGTGTACCGTAATGCTGGAGTGCAAACAAACCTATAAGGATTATACAAGCAGCAGGGACTTCTATATCTGCATAAACAAAAACAATAAAACAGAGAAAAAGTTTCAGACACAATCACAATAGGCAAAGGTCAAAACTTTAACATTGCAAGAGTCGTTGAACACGACACTTACAGATGTAGAATTCAATAAAGTAGAATGTTCAGTCAAAGAATCGATAATGACACAAAGATCCAAATTTAGTAGTAGATGAGAATTTTCAGGAAGAAGACCAACGTGTAAGTTTGATATAATACATATCAACTTGATGTTCAAAGAACAATCCAAACGCCTAATTCAATAAAGTGGGCCATAAAAAAAACCCGAAAGCGATGTAGATGACCCGAAAAAACGTGATTGGAGCAACGACATTTAATTCGTGTTACGTGCAAAACTCTATCAAGCAATCGAACAAACAGATGGTGGGAACAAAGGGCTCCACGATCGAGTAAAGCAAACCGAGTACATTCCGAAATGATTCTAATGATTTTCTTAGACCATATGTGACCAAAATCATCCATGAACTAACCATAGTGTATAACGTTTGAGATTAAGACAGCCAATGAAACTAATCAAGAATAGTGGGAAAAAAACTCACACTTGTGATGCTCCTTAGACATTGAAAGCTCAACACCTGATACTGCAGAGAAAACTGTACAGACACCAAAAAAAGGGAACAGTGTGTAAACAAACAAGTCAGAGATCTTGTCTTTGTCAAAGACAGAACATCAAATACCAAAAGAACAAGTCAAAAGAAACGATTTTTTTTTTCTGACTTACCAGAAATCGCAGGCGTAAGAACACCATCACCAATCACCATACAAGTACCAATCAAAGCAAGAACAAGCAAAATCTTCTGCAACACTCTATATTTCTCAAGCGTAGATTTCAAACTCGCAGCAAAACCCGATTGAGGAACCGAGCAAGACCCAATCGAGTCTGTCTTGTACTCGATGAGCTGCTCGTCCGCCAGCTGGCAACTCGGTAGCGAGTTGACTCGGGCGTGTCTACAAAGTAGCGAGTAAAGAGCGAAAGTTCCTCCTTCACCATTGTCGTCTGCTCTAAGGACTATCAAGACGTATTTAAGCAAAGGGACAAGAGTGATTGTCCAAAAGATGAAAGACAAAACACCAAAGATCTCTTCGTTGCTTTCAGAGTGTTGAATGTCTTCAGCGAATGTGCTTTTGTATACATATAAAGGAGAAATACTCAAATCTCCATATACAACACCTAAGCTTTGATACGCTAATGTCAATACTGTTCTCCATGATTCCTTCTGCAATAAAAAAAAAAGGTTCTTTTTTTCGATGATTACGAAGATGGGTTTAACGAAATAAGATCGAATCTCAAAATCTGAATTTTTTTTACTTACCTTTTTGATGTTCTGGTAATTACCCGATTCCATATCCATGATGGGTTTTTGAGTAGACTCAAGAATTCGACAAGTCCATGAAGATCCGATTTCGATTACCAGTGAGAACTGAACACAGTTAAGAAACAGAGAATGAGTTAAGGAAGAAGAAGTTTGAAAAAGGTGAAAGGAAAATGCGAGAAAACTCGAGAAAATCGAGAACACGTATGGGGATTTCTGGATTTAGACGACAAAGGCGAGATTTTTAAGAGAAAGATTGTGACTTTTTGTTTTTTGTTTTTTGGGGTTAACTAATTTTGAAGTTGCTTACTTGTGAGAAAGAGAGAGATTTTGTTTTCGGCTCTAGAGGAGATTAAAAGAGGAGTCA